TATATATATATATATATATATATATATATATATACACACACACACACACATACATACATACACACACGCACACACACACACACACACTTATTATAAAATTGTGATACATTCAGCATATCTTCCAACTGAATCTCAAATCCAAGCTGATCAGAAATAATCCCTCTACTACTCTTTCATAAAAGAACTAATAGATTTATGAGATAACCTTACAGGTCATTTAGTCCAGTCCAGAGGAATCATTCATCAAATTGTTCCTGACAAATAATCATCCAGCTATATTTGAAAACTTGAGGAGATATGGAATCAACTATACTTATATCTAGATAAACCACTATACTGCTTAGAATTTTTACAATCAGGATTTTTCTCTTGCGATCCAACATGAATCTTACTTTCTTTCATTTCAGCCCATTGGTTTTTGTCTTGCAAGAATCCCCTCTTGTAACAGGAGGCTTTTTACATGCATCTTAGTCATCTAATTTGCAAAGCTAAACACACTGAGAACTGCTTCTCAGTTTCCTTAGTATGATAGTAGGTCTCCTCAGGTAATGCCACAACAGGATACAACATTCCATGTGTTGTCTAGGGGTAGAGTAGAGAATACTGTGACACTAAGACCTCCTATGATTTGAATGCAATGAATTTATTCACGCATCCCAAGACTGCATTGGTCTTTTTAGCTGCTGCATCACACTTCTTTCTCATATTGAGATGGTGACCCAGTAAATTTCCAAAAACCTTCTCATACCCTCTATTGCTCAGCCAGGTCTCATCTATCTATGTATTTAATATTGCTTATCCAGAGAACAATATACTTGTCATAGAACAACCTTACACTTCTGGTTTTTGCTCAATTACCAAGCCTGCCAAGAAAAATTTGAATTTGTCCTCCGAGATATTAAGCCAACTCACACATTCCTTATTAAGCTGAATGCAAACGGTAAATTGCTATCCAGCAAAGGGTAGGTAGGACTTAAGGATGCTTATTCTTGGACTGTATCCAAAATATCATGTAAATCTCTCAAAGGTGTTCTCAGAGGTGAGCAAAAAGTTGCAGGACCCACCCCAAAGCATCCTCTCACTGCCGGTCAGGATTCAGCAGCTCAGATAGACAACCAATTTTGTCGTGTACAATGATGTACAATGACAACAAAGGGGATTATTATACCCATGGTGAGCAAATCAGTCTGGCTTGCAGTTACAGCATCCCGGTAAATTAGGTGTTTCGATATTTGGTTGAGACAGAGAAGATGTAGAGGGAGCTTACCTTTCTCGTCAGCCTCTGCTTGATCTCTCTCCTTTCCTCTTGTTCTGTTTGATCATTCCTTTCTGCAGAAAAGATGAAGAGAGAGATGACTTTCCTCATGAAGACCAACTTTGCTGCCCGGTCTTTTCGCGCCACCACCAAGCGCTTTACAAAGCTCAGTTGGTGTTCTGCCAGAAGCATCACACACACACACACACACACACACACGGACAGACACTCCTTCGGCGTGAGGGTTTGGCGGATGCCAATGTCAGCTCTCCTCGCTGGTGGCCAATTAAACCGGGGCTTCAACAAATCTGGACCAGCCAACCCCGTTCCTCCATCAGGACAATGAGGAGTGTTTTCAGAGGGAAAATCGATAGACTTTTTAGAAGTCTAAATGATCGTTTTGTGATGCCACATCTCTCTCTGAGTCATCCGTGCTGCCCTTACGAGCTGGAACATTGTAGAGAAGCTGCTTCAGGGAACACACGTTCCTTGTACACTTACTCGGCTAGGCTCCTGTAATTTTGTTGATTAATTTATAACAATAGCCAGCGATCTACGCCCATGCATTCCTCTGCCTTCTATTATTCTGATGATGCCAATCTTATTATAGATTCTCCCTACATTTGGCAGAGAGGGCGGGGGAAGAAGGGATTCCTTGTCTATAAACTGAGATGGTTTCTTAAAGAGATACTCTCTGCAAATCCCTCCTCCCTTTTTTTTATACACCGAAACTCTTAGTATTCAAGCTTGATCGTTTTTCACACAGTGGGGCTAAAAATAAGCATGGCTGCAGCTGCTGTAACACTGCGTGAAATATAGCCTTAGTCTTCAGATATGAGTTAATGGATTCTCTATATCAGGGGCTGCCGGTTGCTAAATTAAGCTATGCACGTGTGACCTGGAAAAAAAACCCACAGGTTTTTAAAATCATTTTAGAGGAAGGAAGGAAGGAAGGAAGGAAGGAAGGAAGGAAGGAAGGGGAATACAGGGAGGGAGGGGAATACAAGGAGGGAGGAAGGGAGGGAGGAAGGAAAGGGAATACAGAGAGGTAGGAGAATACAAGGAAGGAAGGAAGGAAGGGGAATACAGGGAGGGAGGGGAATACAGGGAGGGAGGGGAATACAAGGAGGAAGGAAGGAAGGGGAATATAGGAAGAGGGAAGGAAGGAAGGAAAGGAAATACAGGGAGGGAGGAGAATGGAAGGAAGGAAGGAAGGAAGGAAGGAAGGAAGGAAGGAAGGAAGGAAGGAAGGAAGGAAGGGTAATACAGGGAGGGAGGGGAATACAAGGAGGAAGGGAGGGAGGAAGGAAGGGAATACAGGGAGGGAGGGGAATACAAGGAGGAAGGGAGGGAGGAAGGAAGGAAGGAAGGAAGGAAGGAAGGAAAGGGAATACAGGGAGGGAGGAGAATACAAGGAAGGAAGGAAGGAAGGAAGGAAGGAAGGAAGGGAAATACAGGAAGGGAGAGGAATACAAGGAGGAAGGAAGGAAGGGGAATACAGGAAGGGGGAAGGAAAGAAAGAAGGAAGGAAGGAAGGAAGGGGGTACATGGAGGGAGGGAGGAAGGGAGGAGGATACAGGGAGGGAAGGAGGAGGGATGGAAGGGGGTACAGGGAGGGAGGGGGAAGGTGAATATGGGAAGAAGGGAAGGAAGGGGGATACAGGGAGGAAGGAAAGAGAATACAGGGAGGGAAGGGAATACATGGAGGGATGGGAAGGAGGGCGGAAGGGAGGGAGGGAAGAGGAATACAGGGAGAAGGGAAGGAAGGGGGAAAGGAGAAAGGGAGGGAGGGGAATGGAGGGAGGGGAGTACAGGGAAGGGGGGAAGAAAGGAAGGAAGGAAAGAAGATTGTGGAACAAATGTGCATTGCACATTATCACACCAGCCCCACTAGAGGGCCTTTTCTGCATTAAATCAAAAGCACAATTTCTGCATCCATCAATTGGTTAACAAGCATTAAAAAAATAGTGCTTGCAGCAGGGGGGGGGGGGAGGAGGTATTTTTAGAGTCCAGATCTCTATATTTGCTCCCTCCCAAACTCTCAGAACAGAGGCAGCCACGTGGTGCTATTTATGGAAGGAAGGATAGTAGCTGTTTTCAGGCGCATCGTAACTGGAGAGAGACTGAAAATCTTTGCAGACTTGACAATGAGCAGCTAAAGCTCAGCCTTGGAGTATGAATTAGAGGCTTCGGCAAAGATGTGGTTTCGGCTTAGGTAGCCTCAGATATATTTTTAAAAAAGCAGGAACACCTGCCATCAGTGATTCTAAAATGGTAGCGTCCTATCTGCAAGGCATCTTGTTACCTACGAATTTGCATTTAGGAAAGAAATCACGGGACCGTGCAGTCCTTCAGATTTTCTCTCCAGGAGACGTTGGAGAATGAATGTGTGTAGCATTGATAGGCAACTTCTCACAGCTGCCTCCTTGTTTTCCAAGATCCTGTGGCAGTTGCAAAGGGCAAGAACGTAGTCCTGGGGAAAAGATGTAGCTGCTTTAATGAGTTTTAGATGCTACAACTTTTGCTCTGGCATTCACTGAAGCCCCTTTCTGGATATATTACTTGCGGCTTATTTTTCTTTGTTAGATGTATATTCTGCACTCTGTTCAAGAGCTTAAGGCAATGAAATTAAGGCATTTTTTTTTTAAAAAAGAAAAGCCTTATAGGATTTTGCTCAGGGATCAAAGGGAGCCTCCGTGACTGAGGGTGGATTTCAACTAGGATCTCCCAGTTGCTCTTGAATGCAATAGCTGCCCAGCCCTAATAATTAATTTCTAATTCAGCCGGAATTGCTGGTTACGAACAGAAGGAGGAGGGAGTGGGGGAATAGCGTAGGAATGGAAATAGCTACCTCAGCTGTTATGGAAAAATTGTCAAGAAAGCAGTCTTAACTTTGCCTAATAGGAATATTCATGAGCATCTTGAAATAGCTACTAATCACAGATGTGTATGAGCTGGTAGAAAATGTTGAGGAAATACACACACACACACACACACACACACACACACACACACACACAAACCTTTTAGGACTTCCAAGGTCCAACATCTAGACATACAAACACAAAAAGTGGGGGTTACCCCAAAGTCCTCCTCCAAATTGCTAGCAAATTGTAATTTTTTTGAGGTGGAATAGATGGTTAACAACAGTCTAACAGGCTATGGGAAGGAGGAGCATGATCAAAGGCAGTCTAAATGGAATCTAATCTACGCTAATCTCATTTGCATCCTGAACCCATCCATTCCACCCTGTATTGTTTGATTGTCTGTTGTGGTGCAGTGGTTAGAATGCAGTATTGCAGGCTAACTCTGCCTTCCCACTGTCAGGAGTTCGATCCTGACCCAGCTCAAGGTTGAATCAGCCTTCCATCCTTCTGAAGTTGATAAAATGAGGACCCAGATTGTTTGGGGGCAATAGGCTGACACTGTCGATCACTTAGAAAGGGCTGTAAAAGCACTTTGAAGCGGTATATAAGTCTGTTGCTATTGCTATTGGACATCACTCTGACCATTAAAGAGACACAAAGACGCTCTGTGTCCATTCAAAAGAAAATTCTAGTCATCCCTTTGCCATACCCAGTTTATACATTACTGCTATTTCCCTGAATTATTATTTATTTGGTTTCAGTAGCATGTAATAATAGGCTTGTTGTAGCACTTTGGATCTGATATCTTAAAGGTGATTCAGGGTTTTGCAAGAGTCACAAGTAACATCTATTTTTATTTATTTTATTTATTTAGATTGTCACTCCTGCACAGGATAACAGGAATAAGAATAAACATGAAAAGGAACACAGGAAATGGGTACAAATAAATGGGGACAGTAGGACAGGGAAGTTAGGCAAGCTGGTGCACTTATGCACGCCCCTATGCATCTACTTAACCTTCTTAAAATGCTTGCATTTTTTTCCAAAGACACAGGTGCATTGCTGTCATATGTATGTTTCCTGTTTGCTTCACAGCGCCTTGGAAGAATCAGATCCAAAGGGCTGCACTGCCATAGTAAATGTACTTCAGGGGTGAAATCTAGAAAGTTTTGACAGGTTCTGGAGAACCGGTAGTGGAAATTTTGAGTAGTTCGGAGAACCGGCAAATGCCACCTCCAGATGGCCACAGAGTGGGGTGGGAATGGAGATTTTGCAGTGTCCTTCCCCTGCCATGGCCACCAAGCCACACCCACTAAGCCACGCCACGCTCACCAAGCCACGCCCACAGAACTGGTAGTAAAAAAAATGAATTTCACCACTGATGCACTTTATCATGGCTTTAGCAAATCCAGCAGGTTTCCATGGCACCATATAATGCCACTAGCGGTACCGTCAAGAAGGTGTGTTGCTCCTGTGAGAATAGTCCTCTACGGGTCCATCCCACATGATCTGATCTGGATGGCATGTTCTCCCCATGGAAGAAGCCACCATTAATGCTTAGGGAGGTCTGCTTCTTCTTGCCTTGGGTGATGGGCTGAACATTTGTTCTTCCCTGAAGACCCAATGTGACCAAATTGTACAAGAAGGATTTATAGTCTCATAAAGTTACGCGGCTGCCAGGAAAATGAAGGATCCCCGTAATAGCAGCCTGCTCTTCCACCGATTAATAATTAAGTGTCTGGCTGTCATCTTAATGAGACAATGCCTTCGGCTCTGAAGTGCCCAGTGTTATTTACACCCTTGCTCTTGACAAGGTTTCTAAATTAGCTCACAACACTGAAAGTATCAGTAAAGGAAGCCCGATGGGACAGGTCAGCAAAACCAAATAACTCTCTTTCCTCACTTCACTCATCACTTGAGACTTTCAAGAAGAGATTGGACTGCCGTTTGTCAGAAATGGTGTAGGGTCTCCTGTTTGACAGGAGGGTTGGACTAGATGACCTATAAGGTCCCTTCCTACTTTGTTAATCTTCCTAAAAGCACCCAGGAAAATCCTTGGGGTTTCTATGGCACCACTGCTATTGTGGACATCTTCCCTGGTAAAGTCACCCATAAAATGAAATGGGATTGTGAGAATTACCTTGGGAGATATGAGAAAAGAGACACAGCCTAGATAAGATGAAAACTGAATCCAGAAGAAGGATGGG